GCTGGCCATTAAGAAACAAACAGAAGGAAATATCGTGCAGACTCAAAAAAAATAAAAGCAGAAAAAAACAAAATTCCAACATTTTACCAAGCTGGGTTTAATTTTACACCATTTCTTCTCTTGTCTACTTTTATTCTTAAATGTCCTAGTAGTAAATGTGCCAGATAAGCAAAGTGAATACAATTTACTACCATCAGAATACCACCTTTGTGGACATTTCATGACCAGAGGTCTTTTATACCTTGTAGCTTACCTGAATAAATCCAGGTGATATGTATGATAGACGTGTCACTTGCACATAGCTGTCTGATTTTTGGCGATGTTACTGGGGCACTTTCTTGTTAATGTCTTTGATGTCTGTAAATGTGAGGCCTTTGTTGTGGTTTTATTTCTCTGACACACCACAAAACACAAATGGAATTTCCAAAATAAATAAACAAATAAATTAATTTTTATTTATTTTTTTTTAAAAAGGAGAATGTAAAAAGCCACCAAAATCAGACCTTCAATCATTAGCGTGATTTTGCATTCTAAATAACCTTTCGGTTGGTCTTCACTGAAAGGCAGTATGGGGGTAAAATCAAAAGAAGTGCGACTCGTTTTGATAATCACCTAAACTCCTGAAAACAATTTTTCTGAATCCTAAAAACACAAGAAATCAGTCTGCATAGTTGTGTAAGGAAGTGTTAACATGTGCAAATTTATGTTACCATGTTTAGTTTTGTGTTTTTACATATTGTAGGAGAGTCGTCTAAATCGAGCCTCGGATGCAAAAACGTTCCGAGTTCGTCTGGAGAAGGAGCTGTGTGACAATGCTAACATCAGCTGGGACAAGTTCAGCAAGGTGCCGCACTTCACTGTGGCCCACTACGCCGGCAAAGTTGGCTATCAGATAGAAGGCATGGCGGAGAAAAACAAGGTGAGAAAAGCTTTCAACTGTGTCAGAAATAAGCTGAATATGTATTCCTTTACTGCACTTCTGCTTAGATACTGATTTTCATTTATCTATGTATTTATTTTAAGGACCCAGTGCCACCAGAGCTAATTAGCCTGCTTCAAAAGTCCAACAACCAGCTTCTTCACCAGATCTTCAAAGACAATGAAACTGAGAGTCAGATTAAAAAGGGGCCTGGTAAAACCACTGTGGTCTCCAAGTTCAAGGTAGGATCCAGCTCTAGCCTTCATAATCAGGGCAATATAAGCTAGTCACAACCTCTTTTATAGTTTGGAGGCTTTAGTGCTGGCACTGGTAATTGCTAATATCTCATTGTAGAACTCACTGGAGACCCTGATGAAAATCCTCCACTTCACAACTCCTCACTACACTCGCTGCATCAAGCCAAACCCTGAGTGCAAGCCACTGACTTTCAAAAAGGAGGAGGTAGACAGTCTACTCGCATGTTTAATAATCTGTGTTTTAACACCACAAAGACAACACTGACATGTTTGAACAAAAGGCAAAGGTTTCACTTGATCCTTGCTGTTTGTTTTCAGGTTATCATTCAGCTAGAGGCCTGCGGGATTGTGGAGACCATCCATATTAGTGCTGCTGGATTTCCAATAAGGTGAAACTTTATTGGAATATCAGCCTAATGTACCATTTAATTTCTGCTGGATTTTGGTTGACGTCTTGTCTTTTGGTGCACAGGATTCCTTTCCAAAGCTTCCTGCAACGTTACGCACTGATCGCTAAACACATAAAGTTGGGGGGTCACAGTGTTGGTGAGTACAGCTTGTGGTTGAATCCATTTCTGGTCAGTTTCGCATGTTTCGTGTTTGGGGAAAATCGTGATTTTTATCTCCTCTCTTTAGGTCTGCTGGTTTATTCTGCTTTTCCTTCAGTAGCCCTCTTAGTAAACATGATCCTCAGTACTCTACTCTCCTTGGGAACTTTTTTAACTTGGTGCATTAAAAACAAAATAACAAACAAAATTTGCAACCTTTCCAGGTAAATGCATGCATGACTGTTGGAGCTTGCCTTGCATGTTCCTGCATTTTTTTCTCAGTTATTATGTATCAACTGACACTTAGCTTCACTGCTGTGTTCAGCTGTCTTTTTGTCTTTTTTTTTTGTAAAGTATAAGGATGATGGTCAAAAATGGTTTGGGAAATCTCCCAACTTTTTGTCCAGTGTGAACATGGAGTTGACGTTAGATGGATTTTAGTGATCTTGAATATTAATTGTACTTGTTTTAGTGACATTCTTTTACAGCCCACATCATAAATATTGTGATAAAATGTAAAGTGTGTAATTATGTAAATGTGCACAGTGCTTTCTTTTTATTTCTGCATGCTGTGTGAGACTGCAAGGATTTATTAAGGTCAAAAGAACCACCTGTGGATGACATAACACCTGATCTAGACATTAATGTTCCTTAGATCTTACTGGGTCGCGTTAATAGCTGGATTTTGACAGACTGATCCGAAGGTGGATCAGAGTGTTTAAAGAAATGCTTTCGAACCCAGGAGCCTCCTGCTGTGAGGCAGCAGTACTAACCGCTGAGCAATGTGCTTCCAGTAAGCAAGCAGGCTCGCCTTAGTGATTCATCAGTTGGACAAATGCCTAAACAGACTTACAGAGCTGCTGTCACGTCTGTAACTTCTTAGCACGTGCATGCACAACCTGAATGCTGCAACATGCTGTGTATTATTATAAAAGTTCATATCTCCTCTGTGTTCCTCTCCGTGTGCATGTTAAAAGATTAAAAAATTGGTGTTGAATTCACAGCACAGCGGCTATGGAAGCTGTGCTGTTGATTCAGATGTGTTTGCTCCCTTGCTGTTCTTCACCCGTTACACTTTTTAACCTCACACGCTGTTACTGTGTGATAAACCTCAGTCTCACAGTCTGAGTGCTGCACAACTGTGAACATTACTATATCTTTAGTGGATCACTTAATCTAACTTGTGCTTGCCTTCAGTGTTAGATTTGGAAGCTGACACTTGTCCTCAGCGACATGTGGAGAAGATCCTCAGTGTGGCGCTGAAACACCGCTGTCTGAGTGAAGAGCACAGTACATTGGTGCATTGTGGGAGGACTAAAGTTTTTCTCACACAAGTGATGGTCAGTCATTTAAAATCTGTGTGTTTCATTACAAACAAACAAGCTTATTTATTTTTAGAATTCCTTCAGCTTCTTATTTTTTTTTTGTTGCATTTTGTTTGTTTGCTATGCAGTCTAGTTGGTGGTATAAATGTTCCAGTTTTCTTTTTCTTTTTGAGCACACTGACCTGTCTGACTCGTCTCACAGCTAGATTTACTGGAAGATCAGAGGAAGAAGATCCTGTCTCACTGCGCCTTTACCATTCAGTGCTGTTGGCTACGGTACCAGCGGGGCAGACGACACGCCCACCGCCAGTCTGCTACTTTGATCCAAGCAGGTGAACTCATAATGCGCCTGTGAAGTAATGCAAAGTGTGGCCCTGTTCCCGCAGGTTCTCTGCAGGCTTTGACCTGACGGCCGGGCCCACGGTGACCAGCTGCCGGTGTCTGCACACTCTGTATTCAGGCTGTTTATCCCTTTAACGACAGAGCCTATCACAAATAACTACTTCAGCTGTTCAATACACATGTTCTATTATTACTGGTGCTTTATTTATTTATTTATGGTTCTTGTTCTGCAAGAGAAACAAACCTTTAGAATAAGTAACTTGTTTTAAACTGCCTGCAGTGGTGCGGTCTTGGCTAGTCAGGAATCGTGTCCGGAGATGGAACAGAGCAGCTGGAGTCATCCAGAGCACCTGGAGGAAGTGGAGGGTGAGATTCTATTTGAACGCTTATCCTCATGTGTTAAGTTTTACTGCTTTTTTTCATTTCACTGTAAATAACTTTGCTTTTATTATTATTTTTTACATCTTCTTGCAGTTACTCTTGAAATCCTTGGCTGAAGCAGAACTTGATGACGCAAAGGACCTGGTGGAGGAGGATACACCCGCACTGACTCCTGTCGTCAGGGAACGGGGCTCAGTACAGCTCTCCACCATCCCGGAGCCCGTCACGGTGCAAGGGTGGCCCATGGGCCTGGCTCTAGCCTCTGCACCGTCCATGACTGTGTCTTTGACAGCCACAGGCTTCCAGAAGATGATGTCTGTCATCGCCTCCCTCAACTTGCCATCCAGGAGGGGAGAGTACCAGGTGAAGACCAACCAGTACACGGAGGAACTCGCCTCCATAAGGGCTCAGCCCAAGGTGAGGACACAAACACCTTCCAGAAACGTTTTCATTTTGTTCATCTGATGGTCTTCTCTTTCTCGTTTCCTGCACAGGGATCCGTAAAGCTGCACTGTCAGCGATCTCCGCTTCTCTACGCTGACAGGCAGCCGGACCTGAAGAGCGACGTGAGGGGGTTCAATGAGATCCTGCTAGAGAAAACTCTGTAACCGCTCCCTCAATGCAAAACGCTTCTTGCAGTGAAGCAGCTGCTTCTCCATAATCTGACATGAAACATGGTATTATTTCATGCTGCCACTGTGTATGTAGGTTAAAACACTAATTGCCACGTTTGTTTGTTTTTTGTTTTCTTTTTTTAAACGAAGGTCGAAACTGATCTTACCCTGTCTTACAGGGATGAAGGGAATTATAAAACCTGCATCCTTGCATAATTATTATTTATCAGAAGCGTTTATGTAAGCTGGTGCAGTGCTAAAAATCACCTCCAGTTGCCTTACGGCCCCAGAGATGACAAAATATATATAAATATATCACCTAAAATTCCAAATCTGAGTCAGGAGAGTGGATACAATCCTCAGCTGCATTTAAGATAACGTAACCCCTTCTTTTCATTTCTTTTACAGAAAGAAATGAAGTACCATTCACATTTCTCTGTGAATGGTACTCGTGGCCATTGATCAGTGGGCTTTGATCAGTGGTTGTTGATCAGTGGTCATGAAAATGTGCATAATTATGATGAAGGAACTGACCTCCCAACCCCATTGTTCCTTCAGTGGGCTGGTTTCAGTCATTATGCAAATGTACTGTTTATAAGATTGGGGAAACCTGCAGTCAGCTGAGACTGAAGAAGTCACTTGGATGAGTGACGAAACGTTTCTCCCACTGAAAACGCTGCGTCCAGATGAACAGAATCAACTTTAGGGGATTCTTTTACAGAACTTGCCGTGTTTGTCACATGTAGAAAACAGCACATGGTATAGATGGGATTATGGTGATGCAGGATAAACACTAACTCTTTTTAAAAGAAATCTTTGTAAAACTCAAAATTTAAGGCATAATCTTGGCACTTTTTTTTTAAAAGAAAAAAAAATACCAGGGCTGCAGGCTTTTGTCTCCTGATAGATGATCAGAGTATTAGGCCTCGAGACAAGTGCCTTTCTTAGAATCCACGGTCAAACCACATATGAGCTGTACATGTATTTATTGGGCTGATTATTTATCTGTGACTTAATTTTTCCAGTCTTCTGTTTCTGATTCTTGTGTAGTTTTGTGGTTGCTGCTAGGAGGAAAATGGTAATCGAGCAAATATTGCACGTTAAGCGAATATTGCACTTCAAAAGCATGCACATTCTTATGTAATCAACAAGATTACACGACAGGGTGTCTACAGGCATGAGCAGGTAAAATGTATTTTATTAATTTTCATTCTTACACCATTTTAATAGCCCAGAATCTTTATCTTGACTGATGAGCAGGCTCTGATATTTTCAGGGTGTCCACCAGTGTAATCGACAGCTTGGTTGTGCATATTTACACTTTGCTGGCCTGAGGCTTCGGGGATTTTTATATTTTTGAGGCAGTTGTTTTTAAGCACCATTAAAATTAGTTAATCATTAGCCTTTTTCTTATTACCCCTGAGCAGCAAAAGGCTGATTGTGTACTGTCATCACCCCACCAGGCAGGCAGCGCGGACATTTAAGTTTGTGAATGCAATAACTGGAGAACAAGGTGATACCATAGGTGTGTTTACTAAGAATGTTGGACAAGTTTGTATGTCAGTGACTTCGACCTCAAGGTCGGAGCAAGTTGTCTGAAAACCTCGTCAACAAAACATGACACAGGATTTTGAAATCGACACTGTAGGTGTGTCTACCATAGAACTGAGAGGAACCACTGGTGGTCGACAGTATTTTAATGAAAACAGGCAAACAAGGGTATTATTGTACAAATACTAAAGTCATATGATCTAAATGTGTTGAGGAAGCAAAAACAGTGGAATAGTGTGCCAGAAATTCTCAATAACTTGAGTAAAAGCACATCAGACACATCCACACTAATACGTTAAGGGTTTATATTGATGAGTATTGAAGAACTTTCAGGGAGCTGTAGACACCCTGCATAACAGAAACTTCACTGATGTGAAAAAGGATGAACCCAGGTTTATTTACATCGCTGCTCTTTGTCTTATGCACGTCAACAAAATATGTCTGAACCACTGTGTGAATTTCATCCAAAGCAATGCAGTACTGTAACATATACCAAAGTCTTTTTACACTACAGTATTTGTGTATGATAACTTGATTTTTCTTATCACGATCAGCTTTGATATTTAAACTTTGAACAAACACATTAGCAACAATCATAGAAATCATTGGAGCCTCTCACTCCACACTTAACTTCAAGAGATTTCCTTTTTTCATTTTATCCACACAAATTTAATGACTTGGATATGTAAACGTGTCCAGGTTATTATCAGAAGTTATAATATGGAATTTGTGTATTTTAACTGTTTTGTTCTTATTTTCTTCCGTTTCTGTCAGTAGTACCACGGTATCCATCGACTTGTATGTTTAAATGTTTTTGTTGAAATGTCAGTTTTAAAATGTTTGGATTTCCAATCATCACTTTCCCCTTGAAGTCTTTACATGTGAAGTCTTGTTAATGGCAACTCTGGGAATTTTTACAGTTTGAAAAAGTTGGGGCTTTTATTTGAACATTATATACATACTGTAGTTTGAAGTCACAACACAAACTGCAGCAACAACACTACAAAAATATATTTAAAGAAATGAAAGCTGGATTTTACAAGTTGGCATCCTCACTTGATTTTGCATCATTTTCTACAATTTTCAAGCACTGATCAGAAAATTCCATAAACAGCGGCTCCTGCATGGCGGATTTCATTGCATCCTCTTTACGCTCTGCACCATCTATAGAGCACAATAACTGCCTCAGATGAGGATTACAGAGCAGGTCCTTTAGCTCTTTTGACTGGCCTGGAGATAAAGAAAACAGCAGTTACTCTCACACTACTTTGTGTTAACGTGCCATTGCTGTTGCACGACGCTTTAAATTTCAAGTGCAAAAAATGAAGTAGGGGTGCTGGAGAAATACCTAACATCTGGAGCCTCTGCAGAGGAACTTTGTCAGTGATGTCATCTTCATGCAGAAGATCATCAACACTCCAAGACTCTGCAAAGACATCAAAGAAGGGAAATTCTTTTTAGGTGTTAGGTTTACTCGTAATGCCAGACAGGAGTACTGTCACAGACCGTAGCATGATTTCATTTACTGAAGCTATGCTTAAACGAAACTATTTGGAAACTTTAGGCCAAATATTTATGACAAATGTATAAAATTCATCTTCCCCAAATGATTATATACCTGTGTCTGTGCTGTGGTCACTGTAATGTAAATATTTTTTAAATTCAGATCATCACCTCTAAATACAGTATTAGTTCACAACTCTGACTAAATGAACAAGACTGAAATCTAAAACGGTGCTCAAGAAAAAGCATATCACCCTTTGGATGAGGGCATAATCATGTAATATTCTAAATATGTTTCTTTTAAATGCCGCTGTAATATTACTTATTTAGTAAATAGACCATATAATCCCAGTGCTGATGAGAGGAATGTAACTGTACCTGTGCTCACAGCAGTCTTTGTTTCAGGATTTGAAGGGGCAGGCTTGTCAACAGGAAGGCAGGTATCTGCGAACAGGAAAAAAAAACAAAACCACTTATTGATATGATAAGAAACATCTCTTTGGAGTAAAGCCACAGCTCATGTAAAAATGTGAATGAAAATTTTAGAACAAGCTAATTTACCTTTATGCTTTTTGTAACAGCCAAGTGAACAACTGTAAGAGCCAAAACACTCATAAGGATCAAGCACATCAAAGTACTCAACAGTGTTTAACACATTTCACATGTGATTATTCTAAACAGGCATCTTCATTTATTACAAACTTAAAACACACTCTAGAGTCCATCAACGGGAACATGACAACTCTGAGCGGGTAATGTCGATGCCAATCACAGATTGTGACAAACATCATGCCAGCAGGTGGCAGCACTGTCGTCAGCTTGTCTACTGGCGGTACAGCACAAAGAAGAAAAACTGCACTAGCACGATTTGACCTATGTGGGTTACCGTCCCATGTGGTGTACACAGTAATAAAAACAATGTTTTTCTTACTGCTAAGCTAACTGCACACACATTTTGTTAAATGACAATCTGTGAATACAAAATATTTGATTTTTATTAAGCGGAGTAACAAGTATCGAGTATATTCAGTGAAGTCCAACGTCACAAAAGTAATGTACCTCTTCATTCTCTCGGTAGACAAGCTGCTTATGTTAGCTTTTTTCTTTCTAATTTACAAAAAATCAGATTAAAGAACTGACTACTGTAGTATTTGTTCCCAAAGGTTTATCTGTGGTATTCGTAGCTAAGCAAAACAAATGCTAACTATAGGTTAGCCCGCAAACAAACATTCAGTTAAAGTTTACTTACTATCTTATTTTGCAGGCTGGACATCGGTATTTTGGAGTCCGTTCGCTGCACACACTGCATAACTCCATTTTCTTTTGAGGGAGAGGAATTACTTATGAGGGAAAACAGTCTGTTAGCGTGCGGTATATGAGTCGTAGGCACCAAAAAATGACGCTTTCCGGTTGTTTAGCTGTTCCTTCAAAATAAAGGCATCACAGATTAATTTGACTTTCCGGTAGAAACAAAGTACAAAATAAAATCCAAACACCGGGAAATATCGGGCGTCTTCATGTCCATTTTAAATCTGTCTTCGTTTCATATTTAGACCGAACGCAAACAAAATTCCGCTGCGGATACACATCCTGATTTGATTGCGCGCGCACACACGCACGCAAATACTATTGGATCATTATACTAAAATGTTTATCCGCAATCCGAACAGCAATTGGTGTCTACGAACTGAATTACAGTAATGGCTATTGATGGGCCCAGGTAGATAGTGCTTTATAAGCCAGGCAAAGATGGGGCCAGATGTGTGTCTGCTGAGTAAAATCCCCAAATCATAAAAATGCATTTAAAAAATTTATGATATACCTGTAATATACACTCTGGGCTACACACAGTTGCGATATAAAAGGATGACATGCCGCCACAGGAAACCAACGTATGTAAACTAATTTTGGGTATATTTTGGGGTAAGATGTCTCCATAGTAACCAACCACCTGTTTCAACATCCTTATTTGAGAAAGAACTTCGAATGTGGCATGTGAATTGTATACAGATTTTTTTTTTAATTTATATTGATACATTTATTTAGATTAAAAGTTTTACTTCTATTAATAACAGATTTTATCCGAAAAACACCAGAGTGTTGTGTATTTTCCTTAATCCCTAATCTGTTAAATTATTATTTGCTTTTATGGATCCATTGTTATTATGTTATAAAGCAAAAAAAATTTAAGAAAAACCATAAATAGAGAAGCACCAGCCAAATGTCTTTGCTCTGCAAAGTATACTCCCCCCTCTATGATATGATATATGCCCATATACCATGTCCTTTAGGGGTTCTGAGATACAAATAAGCACTGCCGCATGGAATCGAACCCCATTTCAAATGAAAACATGACACTGGTTCAATTACCATCAACTTTTTAATTTGATTTAAAATCAGCATATCTCCTGCACCCACAGTGGATATATATCTATACATCTAGCTTTCAAGCACACAATCCACTGACTTACATAGCTTAACACAAACTATTCTTGCACAGCTGTAACTTGAAGGAGGGGGGGGGGGGGTCTTGTTACAGGGAAACCTATGGAATGGAGGGCTGCCTTGTGACTAATGGGCACGTTCCTGGTGTCACGGCACTCCACTCACTGGGTCAAGAAGGCAGAGACACTTGGCCATGGTCAACATCAGAAATCCGAAATCTGTGTGGAGAATTATATAAAAAAGAAACATAAATACATTGTTTAGTAAAACGATCTCAATGTTTCCCTTTTAAATTTAGGTTTGCTGACATATACGTTTTTTGTTTTGTTTTGTTTTTAGAGAAAGCAGGCTGGCGCTACAGGTATTTTTTATTTATACATGAGCAGTTTGTTCTATGACATATCAAAAAGCCCCGCATATTTTAATTTTTGTTTTGACAGACAAACGGCCCGAAAGCTCAAAGCAGCCAAAAATAACGCTAAAGAGAAATTAACTGACCCAGTTACTGACAAATGATAACCTGTTTATTTTCCTCCAATGCTAGCCTGAGCTGTGGGGACGCTCAGTCCATTCTGAAGGCCACAATGCACAATATCACTTTCTCCGCCTTTTTCAAGGACAGATCGCGATCTCCTGACTGCTGTTACAAAGGCAGGTGTTGTTGCTCCTCTGTGGGTGTGAACTGTTTTGGCATGGTGTCGTTGGCTGGGCTGTAAAAATTCCAGGCAGGATTGTTTTTCTATCACAACCGTTCAACATAAACACAACGTTCAGACGACACCAATCCATAGCTACCTGTAAACATCGCAGAAAAAAAGCCATCAGGATGACGAGCTCTTGGTTCTCCTGCGTTTCATTTGGCTATTGTGATATTTTTCTGCAATCTTCCTCTCGTGCCCTGCAGGGCAATGGCGGTTTGTGTTCAGCTCGATTTCCCTCTTGGACCTTCCTTTACCGCCAGCGTGGCCCGAGTACTCTAGCAGATTGTAGTAGTCGTACTGATCGTAGTAGGCCTCCTCGAAAGAGACCAGTCTTTCAATATCTGTCGCCATTTGGACACGGAGAGCAGCACTTGTTCGCAGACAGTTTCTTGCAGCGAGTAAACATATGATGTCACGCCGTGTTTATATACATGCAGTCATGTGATCACGGCTGTTCCACTTCCTTCTGTTTTTGAGGCGAGCACACGGACATACCAGAGAGTTTGTAAATTTAGGGTAAACACCCCCTTTCTGGACTTTTGTTTTCAAAGGGGGCGCTCGCGAGCTAGTTCAGGGTGATCAACGTTTAGCCCGCGACATTTACATTCCGCAAACATTTTTGCTAGACACCTTTGCGATAATTTAAATATGCTTTATATAGATATTTCCGGAGTTCAATTGTATTAAACACATTTCTGTGAAATTTAGCGACATCGCAGCACCATGAGCCATTTTACGGCATCCGCCATTTTGATTTCAGGCATGAAGCCAGCAGCAACAGAGAGCGTGGTAGCACCAGTCTCCTGATGGCATCATCTTCAACCACCATAACCAGCTGCTTCTGCGGATAGAAGTTTCTGTTAACCACGCTTCAAACATCTAGTTATCGTTTGTACACAGATGCTTCAAAAGGAGTATGCGCTGTCGTAACTCCTCGACGGACCAGTCAACAGGCGCTAGCAAAACTGTTTCTCTGTGGGAAAAATATAAGTACATAAATGTCGTTTTATGGTTGAAACCACCTTCGCTAAAATAAAGAGGAATGCTGTATCTTTTGTCTAAAAGCATGTGTAAACAATTATTTTATCAGTTTAGCTCACCTGACATCAATTTCACCAAATACTCTCTCGCTAGCGCCCTCTGCTGCGCTCCAGGGTTGAAGAAACAAGTGGACAATTTCATTGATAGGAAGTGGAATGGCTCTGTCTAAAGATGAGCTCTGCGTACGAACGACTCGTGTCTGCCTTGTATTATGATTTTTTTGTTTCTGTTTCAATTTGTATGTTCCGCTCTCACGTGACTGTCCGAGGACTATATATGAAAACCTTCAAATCAACTTGATTTTACGATAAAAAGAAAAGTATGTATTTTTATTAACGCGCCGACATTAAAAGGCAGCTTATGCGGGACATTATTATACAATAAGGTACCCTAAATAGGGCACCATTTTGAAATAAGGGAGCCTAAGTAGAGCATGTGGATTCCTGTTTTACGGGCAATGCACTGTATGTATTTCTAAAATAAATCTGCACAAAATACAACAAATACCGGTCTCCCCAGTACTCTTACATGCATTCATGTTAAAATAAAACGCGGCACGTGGCCTGAATGTCGTTTATTTGCCTGCTTCTTCTCTCCCAGAAATCTGCGCTCAGCATTTTCTGGGATGTTTTCCTCCTCGGCCCAGCGTCCCGCCCTGACGGTGTGGCACACGTAGTGACGCTTTTCCACGTCGCAGTAGAGTCTCACAGGCGAGCTGGCTGCGTGTGTATGCGTGTCTCCAGCTAGGCCAGAGAGTGATGGCGGCGCCCGTCCTGAGAGTGTCCACCCCTCGGTGGGAAAGAATAGCCAGGCTTCTTGTTTGCCTGCTAGGCATACTGTTGTCTTTATATGCTTTTCACGTCGAGAGGGAAAAGGCGCGGGATGCGAGTTATAAAGCTCTGTGCGACGTCAGCAGCTCCATCAGCTGTTCAAAAGTGTTCAGCTCAAGGTAATTTGAATTCAGCAAAGAGCGCCGACAGTGGCGCTCAATGAAGCTGCCTGCTATTGTGACAATCTGGGAAGGGCTGCGCGGTTTAAACTGTCAAATGCACTCTGCTAACATTTGACTGCTAACCCCAACCGTAAAAGCTAATCACAAGCCATGGCTGGTAGCTCCCTGTTATGCATGCATTAGTTAGAAAAAGTAACTTTACCATTGTAGATGTTGGTTCTAAAGCGCCACATTAGCTTTGTAGCACCAAGAAGCTAATTTTGCTAATCATTAGCTAACGAAACCCGTTGGTTAACATTTAAGCTAGTTTCACTTCTGAACCAACTGACAGCAGAGTCATAAACGCTGTCAGTTTTAATGGGATCCTGTTCAGACCGACTGTCCTTTGCACGTCTTAAAGCTAAAACATATGTTAAAACCAACTATATAAGCATTAAAGTTCCCGATAGCTTGTGCGCAGCGAGGCTATTGTGAATGTATGAGTGATGCTGCTACGTGAAGTCCGTTACTCCGATGACCAGAACTGGGACATTTGTTTGCTGGGTTAATGTTGGTGAATTTAGTCAAATAACTTAAATGACTAACCTCCTACTTTGGCTGTCACACAGCTGTCGTTAGCTCTTGTGCTAACGTCACCAATTATAAGTCCAGGGAGCTAAAACCCTACAGCCTGGTTACTTAAAGGAACACAGAGCTAGTCCAGAGGTCAGTGGAGGGGACTGTAGCATCACGCATCCTTGCTAGACAGGAAGGTGCATCTCCAGAGATTATTACTTTGATTTTTTTTCTCGTGATTATTATACACTTTTTGTATGCATACTGTTAAGGTGCTTAACAGCTTTTGGTGGCCATTCAGTTCTAATAAAGTACAGTAACACCATCTACTGGGCCTGTTTGAATGAGAGGCACTGCTGGCCCTGATTACACCTGGAATGCAACCTGTCTAGGACTTACTGCATATTTGTTGAATGAGTCGGTGACTTTTCCGTTTGAGAGTCTGTCTCAACTGATGTAAGCCTGCCCAAGTGTAACATTTCTTTTAAAGAAGAGATCGAGCTGCTTACATTGGTCTGATCAGTTATGGTTTCCAGCAGTGTAATCTTTATGTCATCCTGTATTTTTGTGATCTGAAGGGTCTGTTTTTCTCAGCTTATCAGTTAAAGAACTAGGCACAATGGTGCTCTAGTGAAATGAATGGAAAGAAGGACATTTAGTAATGTGGAAAATACAATTTATTATATACAGGGTGCACACAATATACATTATATAAAAGGAGAATAAGCTTTCACAAAGTGAAATGCGATTGCGAAAAGCAAGTCACACTAGGACATAACCTTTGTGTGTTCCTAGTACTCTTACTGTGAGACATGGTGGATTGCGCTGTTACGTCGGACGATGTCAAACATGGATCAGAGTTATTGAAATGACATTTACACATGCTTCTATCAAATTATATGTTATACAATGATAAATAAGCAAGTGCATAGATCAACGTGGATTGGGGCTTTAAAAAATGAAGTTCTTCAGGACTGGATCTTACCCATCAACTAACTCTCTCTCTCTGTCTCTGTCTCTCTCTCTCTCTCTGTCTCTGTCTCTGTCTCTCTCTCTCTCTCTCTATGTACACATTTATTTATTAATTTATTCTGCATCCTGCATCCAGAAAATATAAACAATGATTTCATATACAAAGAAAAGATGGCATATCAGAAACTCAAGGAAGAAAGAAATTCCTCCTGCTTGAACTGCTTCATGTCAGGCAACACATAAGTCAAGAGGTAGTGATTTGTCTTTGTGACATGCTGCCTTTCTACATATTTTGGAATTGGTTTATTGAATTTCAGGCCAACAATAAATGTTTTTTGTTACTGAAACAGATTCCCCCCCCCCCCCCCTTTTTTTTTTTTTTTAAAGGTTCAGTTTATTAAATAGTAAAATGCTCTTCTGAGAGTAATAATTTGCTGTTATTTTACTCAAATGAACACCTCACTGCAGCATTTTAGGAAGCAAACACTAGGAAGTGGTTTTTTTGGGTTGTTTTGTAATATTATCTTTTGACTTCAGTCTGCCTCGTTGCATGTTGTGCATGTTGATTTCCATGAATAAACTCAATTTTATTCTATTGTGGTTTAGGTGGGGTCGAGGATTCGGACTCCTGGGCTCAATTTTTGGAAATGACAGTGCACTGAACCAACCCAACAGTGTCTATGGGATTGTCTTTTATGCCTTTCAGCTGCTTCTAGGTAAGCCTATACTCTGTTCCCAGTTGTGGGTTACTTTGTCATTACGTTTTGGATTATATATGACAAATCTCTCTTTGCCTTTGCTCTAGAGGCAAGTGCTGACTCAACTTGTTGCTTTCCTGTAACACAGCTATTTTTGCCTCAACCTGACTCACATGACACTGACATCACATGGAGTTTATAAATGATAATAATGCAGTTAAATGCGAAGTTTGTGTTGTAGGAAGCATTTCCTGCTGACCTGTATTGAAATGTTTTTGGACCTCCCATAGAACTGCAGAGATGCGTTTTTAGAAAACTTCGTATCCTTCTTCTGTTTGGTTTGATGCCTGATATCGTTTTGTTTGTCACACTCTAATCTTGACACTGACAGATAACTGTGATTGTGAATATTTCTCTCTCTGTGTGTGACTTGTTTTAACTTGAACATTTTTTTTCCTCCCTCTGGCGTATGTGACTCAGTCATGCTGGTTCGACATGTTAGCCTGCCGGAGGCCTGTAGGCTTGCCCGGCCACCTGGCCCTGGCACTGAACAAGAGGTCCTTTTAGCTGCTGCATTTAACACTCATTTGACTAGGACAATAGTATCCCAGTTTATCCAGACTGCTGCAGTGGGTAAAGATTTCCATATTAAAGACTGGTTGCATGGCCTTGGATTGGAAAATATTTGCACGTAGGCATTGCTCCAAAATCAGCATAACCAGGGCCATAATCTCTGGTCAATGCCAGTGAGCAGGTTAGAACAGCCGTTGCAAAACACTGAATTATTGCTATAGTTGTGACATTTGGTGATGTCCCTGCAGAGGATCTTTAGCTTCTTTATTCCTTAACTGTAATGAAGAAACTAGAGATTAGTTACGTGTTGCGAGGACGAAATAAATATACAGTAATATTTTTGTCGAGGTAATCAAGCAAAGTTTGAGATTCTGATGAATTTTTATCCATTTCAGCTCTATAAGTGAACAGTTACTAAATCAAGCACATCTGTTAACACCCATCTGAGGTTCTTACTGCGTGTTGATCATCACAGTCCTCAGATGCAGGCTATTCACACATGGAGGCACCTATACGTGTGCAGATGTATCACAGTTAACTTTCACTGGTTCATCTGTTTTCACTCAGTCAGTGAGGGTTTAGTGTCTTTGAAGCATGAAGTTCACATTAGAGCAGGGCGATATGACCAAAAATATTTATCACGATATACATTTGAAAATTTGCGATAACGATATAACTGATGATATAATTGACACTAGACAAAATACTTTACAACTCCACAACTTTATTAGTGCAAAAAAAACCCCGTCAATGTATTTTCAC